CCTGCTTTCTACGAAGCTTAGTCAAAAGGCCTCAGAAGTAATTAGTTCATTTAAATAGGCTAAACATTTTCCCAGCAATCTGGTTTTTGCTTTTAATAGGTGTAGCATCTTGGAAAGGGTGAAAAAGTAAACTTTAGCTCAGCCCCTTGGAAGTATTTCTCACACATTTGATAGACAAAATTCACCCCTTGGCCACTTGCTCCTGCCACACCTTGGTGGGGACAGGGAGCAGGGCAGGTGATGCTCCGGCCAGGCCATCAATGAGGAAGATGAGGGTCCATAATAAAGCCTAAGTTACTTAAGTTTTACTGGCTCTTCTTATTCTAATCACGTCATCTGGGAGGGACTTCCTAGGTTATTGGCTGAGCTTGGAAGCCAGGCTAAGGGGACTTGATTCAAAGCAAAGGGGAGTCACTGAAGGTTTCTGGTCAGGGGAACCAGCTAATTGAGTGCTCATATTAGTCAGAAACCATGAGAAGACAGCTGTGGTGAGAAATGCTGTTAGATGCTGTACCTATGTCTCAGAGCATAAAGATCTTGGTGGGCCTGGACTCCCTCTGTCTTCCTCTCAGACAGGGGTTCCCTGAGGGTGGGCTGTGTCTCCCCCTCAGACTGGGGCTCCCTGAGAGCAAAAACTTTCCTGTCCACCATTAGATTCTTCCTGGACAGCAGGGACAAGACTCCACCCTCCGTACACCTTACAATCCTTCCTAGGGACGCCAATATTGTGGTTAGAAACGGCAGGCGAGACGTCTCCAGAGACAGATGAACAAGCAGACTACAGTCAGGGACAGGCTGGTGATTCCCGGGTGGGAAAGGGGCTGTACCTACCTCCCGCCACTGCTTGTTCTCCATCCCTTGAGTATACATGACGCATACTATGAGGAGAAGAGAAAAAAAGGGTTAACACGCCAGCCAAGAGGGAGGTGGGGAGGGCCCTGGAGGGGTAGGCTCGCCTCAAAAGACTTAGGCTTGGGTAACAGTGTTGGCTCTGTAGGGAGAGGGGTCAGCTTGGAGAAGGGGGCCTAGAACGTAGGCATGTCTGTGTGGAGTACCCTTTGGGAAGCGGGGTCAAGGGCCATTTGCATTAAGGCCAGAGCAAGTGTAAAGTGTAAGGCAGGTAGACAGATGTGCATGATGGAGGAGGGGGTGGCAGAAGTATGGCGGGAGAGCATCTGAAACTCAAATCATCCCTTTAGGGCTTAAGGCAGCCTCAAAAGGCCTATTACAGTCATCAGCCCCACTTCCTTGTTGGGCAAACTGAGGCTCAGAGGAAGCCAACGACCTATCTGAGGTCACATACTTAAGAGGCGTTGCTCCGGGCTAGACTCCAGAAGCAGTGCTCATTCCCCCAAACCACAGCCAACTGGGGCTCTTAAATGTACCAGTTTCCCTGGGACTGAGAACTTCTGACCCCTTCCTCCCAAGTGGCTCGGCTGTGTTGAGGCTTCACAAGTACAGGGACTGGGAAGGGTCAGATGCCCCAGTTCTTCCTCCAGACAGTAAGGGTGAAATGTTAAACAGCCCTGATGCACCTGGAACGGTGCCGAGCACATATTTAGCGTTCAGTGAGGGCTCGAGTATTGGCTGCTACAATCAGCCGGATAATGTCATGGGTGGTGTTACTTATTATTATCAGAGCAGACTTACGTGGGTCGGACTTGGAAAACATGTCTTTGTCCAAAAGGTTCCTGAAAGAGGGTGAGAGAGGAGAAGTTAGCACAGCCCAGGAAAGGAGGATTGTGGAGGATTCAGGCTGTTACGGAGACCCAGAGGCTGCCTTGGGCCTGGCCTCGGGCAACATAGGAAGTTTTTTTTTTATTACGCACTCATTAAAGCTCACAGGGCAGGCACTGGAGGTTCCTCAGCTCTGCTTCCTAAGGAGTACGGCTCCCTATATCCCACCCCCACCATCGCCACACATGCTCTGATACCCTGGATCCTGCAGCCCCTTGCTCTTGGGTCAAATCTCAATCTGCCCAGTGTCTTAGCTTATTCTAGAAACTCTCCTCTTGCCACATCTCTGTCTCTCAAAAAGATAAAATAAAATCAAGCAATCAAAACTTATACATCCAGGGTCCCATTCTCTCAGGGCTTTGCTGACAGCCAGTTTATTCAATCGTCTCAGCTGTGCTGATGGATTAATGAATTATATCTCCCAGAGGATGCAGACTCATTTGAACAGGGTCCTTCTGTGGTCAAGGCTACAGCTAACACACAGCCCTGATAATCAGACTTGAAGGCACTATGGCAAGATGACAGACACTACGTTTTGGGATTGAGAGTTCTTTGAACAGGTGCTGAACCCTTCTGCCCTGCCTCTGTGTAGTCACAGCTTCGGTTCATTGAACCCAATGATGAGTCAGGCATTGGCCTAAGTGTTCTGCAAATATTAGCTCCCAATCTTCACACTGCCCAGCAAGGTCAGTACTGGGTGGGTATCATCCCATCTTACAGATGAGGACTGGAGGCATTGGGAGATCAGGCAAGGATATGTCTTGTACATCTGGTGTCCCTCATTCTATACTGACCTGCTGCTGGAATTTAGCAACACGGGAAGTGACTCAGCTCTCTGAGCCTCTGTTTCCATCCTTACAATACAGACAACAGTGCCAGCCTTGAAGGCTGTTGAGGCCCTGCCCTGTCTCCTTGGCCCTCCCAGTTCCTGTACACATCCATGGTTTCCTACTGCTTCTCTCCTGAGGGCTTCCTCTGGCAGGCGGGACTACAAATACCAGGAAGTTTACACTCAGAGGACAGCCTTCAACCAATGATGGGCAGGAGTTGGGGGATAAATACCTAGCTTTCTCATTCCCTGCTCCAGCCCCGGCCCCAAGGCCTGCTCCAGTCTCTCTGGAGAGACCAGACGGGACAGAGCCCCAGGGGCCTACCAGGAAACCTGCTCATTAAAGACCCTGTTGTCTGGGCAAGGCCTCCCCCCTCATGCCCCATCCCTGAAGAGGCTTCTTATGAGCCCCGCTGCCTGCGGGAGCTACCCACTTCTTCCTACACTGCCTTAGAGTTAAGCTCTGCCCTTGCCAGCCTTCTCAGCTTTTTCTTACCTCCCTTCCAAAGGGGTCTTCTGCCTCCTCTCTCTACTCCCACACTCCCCCACAGGCCCCAGTGCCCCCTGAATCCCTTTCCCAGAGAGGAGAAACATTCCACACTGGTCTATATGGCTTCCTGACAGCCAACTCCAAATGTCATAGCTAGATGGATTCCTGGGATCATGCGTTCTGTCTCCTTGAGGATAGAGACTGGGGCCCAGGGAGGGGCAGGAAGTGGCCACTTCCCACAGCAAGGTCTAGAAGGAGGCCTCACCCTGGGTTACCATCACCAAAACCATCAGGAGTGACAGGCTGTCTGGGTAACCTGACCCCAAAGTCAACCCAACTGCCCACACTCCTTATCCTGATGTGGGAGCCAAAGGCCAACTGACAGACAAACAGATGCAGTAGCAACCTGGTGCCAGCACATGGCATCCCCTGCTGCCTGGGGAGGCCCTAGATTGTGCTCATGAATCAACCAGCTCCAGTCCTTGAGCAGATTCTCAGTGATGTCCCTAAGACAGAGCTCCCTAAATCCTCCTTATCCACTCCAGTCTCTTCATTCGGAGGCCTCTCTCCAGAGGCAATCATCCCCAGCTAGCCCTCCATGATCCCACAGACACACAATCTCTCTGCTGGCCCCCATCACCAGACCTGCTCCCAGACAGCTGTCACTTTGGAAACCATCTGATAAATCTCCCAGCCTACAGCAATGAGCATCAGAGGAAATGATTCACAAGACAACTCTGAAAAGTAGGCAGCAGGGGCTACAGGTAAGATATCACTTTATATATGCTCATCCACACCGAGGTAGGCTGACCTATACCTGGATTGATCTCCTCCTGCAGTGTGCTAGGTTTGGGGGCAGGAGCATCTGTCTTGCTCTAGCACCAAAGATAACTCTACTACCGTTGTGGAACCTGAGGCATGGTGAGGAGCTGGAAAGTAAGAAAGAGGGTTGAGGGGAGGCAGGACTTCTCTACTAAAGCAAGTACTAGGGTTTACCTCTGAATTCAATAATGAAATTCTATAATGCATAAAATCTTAGAAGGTTCAAGCTGGAAGGGACCTCAGAGGTCACCTTTTATAATTCCTTTATAAATCAGGAATGTGAGACTCAGAGAACGTAAGTGACTTCTCCAAGGTCTGGGTCTCTTCTAAGTCTGGACCTGGAACTCATGTTCAGTCATGTCTAGGCTAGTGAGAAAGAGAGTGAGATCCTGGATTTCTGTCCGGGGGGTGGGTGGGTGTGTGTGTGTGTGTGTGTGTGTGTGTGCGCGTACGCGCGCGCGCGTGCGCATGCGCATTTTCACACACGTGTGTAAGGGTTGGGAAAGAGAGAAGGAGGGAGAGGGAGAAAACACGAGCACCTTATCTTTAACGAGAAGCAGACAGGGCTTTTCTTGGCTCTGCTGGCCCTCCCAGCTGGGGGAGAGGCACACAGCTGAAATAAGAAATAGACTCCAGCTTCCTAGCTGCAGTGGCTCCCTGTCCAGTGACCTCAGGACTCTCACTGCATCCTAGGGCAAGAGTCATCCTGGCCACACACCCAAGAGTAATACAAACCCTCTTCCCTCCACACTGCTGAGATCATCCTTACCACCCTTCTAAATCCACTCCTATCCTTCCTCCTCGATTTTGCCTTCCCTAGACAGGCACTGACCAACAGCCATTTCCTCTCCCCTCCCTTGAGTTCTCTCTGGCCTATAGTGTGCAACCCTCTGACTCAGGGGACCCCATTACTGTACTCAGCACACCCTGGTCTGCAAAATCAGGAGTGCATCTGTCTCTCATACCTGCTGCGTGCTCCTCCAGGGCAGGTACCCCACCTCTGCCTCAGGCTAGCCTAGCACCTGACTCAGAGCAGGGGCCTGACAAATTGGATGAATGAAGGAAGACCAAAACAATGGCCAGATAGGTGAGCTGAGGCCCTTATCTTTCCACCAGCATGGTGCCTGGTCATGCTCAAGACTAAGCCCTATACCTCCTCTTAGCTGGAGAGCCAATGGTTAATGCATGGACTGCAGTCAGATGAGCTGGGTTCACATTCCAGCTCTGTGCCTCAGTTTACCCATCTGTAAAGTGGGGCTAAACGCAGTTCCTCCCTCAGGACTGCTGTGGAGCACTTGGACACAGGGAGGCTTGTCAGATGGGTCAGTCATCATTGACCAGGTACTGAGCAGAACAGCCACACCCCTGGTGGGTGCTCAGCCTCACTTTGTGACAAAAGAGAGATAGGATGGGTGATATAAGCCACCTTTACCCTCACCAGTCCAAGGAAGACCACCCCCAACATACATACTCCAAGTGCCCTGTTTTGAAGTACACATTGAATCTCCTCACTGGCTGAAGGCGACCCCCCTCATCTCAGCCTAAGGCTCCCCGCTTGGCCTCCCTTCCTTTCTCCCTCTCGGCCCTGAGGACCCTCTGTCCCTCTGCCTAAGTTCCTGTGCCCTATACACTTCTTTGATCCTTCACCTCATCCATAATTTCCCCATCTATGCCTCACCCCAACTGCCTGTCCTGACAGATGCCTTGGGGCCCAGTGAACCTGCTCTCTTGGTCTTGAGATGGTGGCTTTACCCCATCAGCAATAGGCCTCTTACTTTCTGAGATTTTCCCCTGACCCCACTTATAAAAAGGCAAATTCTTGGGCCCCATTCCTGGAGTCTGATTTTATAGGTCTAGATAGGGCCCCAGAAGCCATGTTTAAACAAGCCACACACATTCCAAACACACACTTTCTGACGGCAGTGGTCCAAATACCACAATTCAGGACACTAGGTCTTAGTGCCTCAGCTTACCCCACTATAACAACATGTGCAGCCTTTGAGGGCTCTTACATGATCCTCACCCCCATCCACTGAGGACTCCAAGGCTCAGGGACAGTGAGTGACCTGCCCAGAGACATACAGCCAGTAAGAAGCTGCGGGGGGAGGAAACCAGGTCTTCTGCCCCAAAGCAGGGCCTAAACCACAAGGGCACAGACAGACCAGACCATAAGTGCTTTTTCTCCATTTCTTGTCTTTGGAAAGCTCAAAAAGAAATTTTTTCCAACAGCCAAATGCATATTTCCCCCAAAAGAGCATAAAACCTTTCAGCTGTCCACTCGGCGGCCTGGAGATTGGCTTCTTTTGTTCCTCAAATCAAGGCCAGGAAAGCACAACTAAGGGCCCCTTTCCTCCACCCCCACACCACAAGGAATTATTTCCAATTCAGTGACCACACACTGGACGACAAGTTCAGAAGTCTCCGTGGTCCCAGAAAAGGGAGAAAGCACTGGAAAGGCCGAAATGAGAGCTTCTGGTTGGTGCTAAAGGAGGGAGCCTAATGGTGACACTCTCCCATCTGGGAGATTTAAAAGAGCCAGAAGTAAAAAAAAAAAAAAAGAAGGCGGAGGGAGGAGGAGGAGGAGGAAGAAGAGGAGGAAGAAGAGGAGGAAGAAGAGGAAGAAGAAGAAGGAGGAGGAGGAGGAGGAGGAGGAGGAGGAGAAGAAAAAGAAAGAAAGAAAGAAAAAAGGAAAAACGTTGGGAGTAGAAACTGAGGCTCCACAGTCAGAGAGAGGAGGACACATAGCCCTGCCCTCAGGGTCCCCAGTCTGAAGGGGAGACACATTTGCTCTTGAGCTAAGTTACTGGGTGAAC